TGAGTTTCCACAATGTGGAGTCACAGAGGTACATTTCGGACTCCTTACCTCTTCCGGTTCCCAAATTTGGTCCATTTGATGTTCCTCCCTTGGATTGAGACCGTTTCACTCATGTTTGTCCTCATAGTCATGTGTAGAACCTATTAATCCATGTTTGGGTAAGTATGGGTCCATCTAGTTCATCTTATACACTACAAGTGAGTTTCCACAATGTGGAGTCACAGAGGTACATTTCGGACTCCTTACCTCTTCCGGTTCCCAAATTAGGTCCATTTGATGTTCCTCCCTTGGATTGAGACCGTTTCACTCATGTTTGTCCTCATAGTCATGTGTAGAACCTATTAATCCATGTTTGGGTAAGTATGGGTCCATCTAGTTCATCTTATACACTACAAGTGAGTTTCCACAATGTGGAGTCACAGAGGTACATTTCGGACTCCTTACCTCTTCCGGTTCCCAAATTTGGTCCATTTGATGTTCCTCCCTTGGATTGAGACCGTTTCACTCATGTTTGTCCTCATAGTCATGTGTAGAACCTATTAATCCATGTTTGGGTAAGTATGGGTCCATCTAGTTCATCTTATACACTACAAGTGAGTTTCCACAATGTGGAGTCACAGAGGTACATTTCGGACTCCTTACCTCTTCCGGTTCCCAAATTAGGTCCATTTGATGTTCCTCCCTTGGATTGAGACCGTTTCACTCATGTTTGTCCTCATAGTCATGTGTAGAACCTATTAATCCATGTTTGGGTAAGTATGGGTCCATCTAGTTCATCTTATACACTACAAGTGAGTTTCCACAATGTGGAGTCACAGAGGTACATTTCGGACTCCTTACCTCTTCCGGTTCCCAAATTTGGTCCATTTGATGTTCCTCCCTTGGATTGAGACCGTTTCACTCATGTTTGTCCTCATAGTAATGTGTAGAACCTATTAATCCATGTTTGGGTAAGTATGGGTCCATCTAGTTCATCTTATACACTACAAGTGAGTTCCACAATGTGGAGGCACAGAGGTACATTTCGGACTCCTTACCTCTTCCGGTTCCCAAATTAGGTCTACTAGGGCTTGGCCCGCACGATGCGCAGGTTATGAGTATTACAAATATTTTGTTATTTATACCAGAATTTTTACATTTATTCTCTATTTATATATTTATCCTTTTAAACCACCATGCATATAATCTGATATCATTCAGGGAACACAAAAATGAAATGATCCAACTAAATTTTGTTGTTTTAAGATAGGAGAATTGATGAAATATTAAGGCTATTGTTTTGAGAAACATGAACGCAAGGAACTCATTTTTCCAATCAACTTTTATAACATCTATGCCCACCAATTTTTCCTTCATTTTCCCGAATTTGGTTAGGCTTTCTGTTTCATTATACAGCTTCATATAGAATGAATTTTACACTCGTATTATATACGAAGGAGACTCTTGTAGATGTAAAATAAAAATATTATTTGTTTCATACAATTACTCTTGCATAACTTCTAAATTCATGTACATCAGCTGTTCTTTGTGTCCCAGCCCATCTCCTTAAAACAATTAAATTCACATATGCTTATTAGTTTGATATGTGGATGCAAAAATTGTATTTCCTAACAATAATGTTAGGTGATTTCACATACTTCTCATTGCTGATGTATGTTGTTAAAAATTTCTTTGTACACAATATGTTGGTCATCCCATTATCTTCCTCAGATTTTTGATTCTCCACTGGAAATTGTTAACCCTTTCAAATATATAGTTGTCTGCGACTGAAAACCGATTTTGGTAGATATAACCCTACCTTCTCATTTCTCAATATAGATACTTACCCATTATTATAATGCAATTTATGGACGTGTAAATATGACACATTTTAACCATGCAACGTAAACATTATTTTTCTACGTTTCGGTAGGATTGATTTTGTCAGACTTTGTACGTACAGATGTAATATAAATTATTACCCAATTTATTTGCTAAGGATTTTATCCATGATTGTTAATTAATGTAAATAAACTGTACTTTTTCCAGTAATTTGAACCAGAAAATATACTATTTTTTATAAAGAACCAGAAAATATACTATTTTAGATTAACAATTAAAGTTTCAATTTATCTATATGATTTGAATTTATATCTACATATATATATATATATATATATATTTGTCCATAAAAGTATTCAACACATGTCACATGTGTGCCAAAGCTTTCCGAGAAAAAGAAAAAGAATTTATTATGAAAACATGGAGAGTCAGCAACTATAGGACTTACAAGTTTTGTATCAACTTATTTCGCTACAATTACGGAATCCTACGTATAGTCTTGCTAGTCTTTTTGTTTTTTGGTTTTTGACAAAAAAAGTCTTGCTATTCTGATACAACGGATAGGCGCGAAATAATTTGTTTGTGAAAGAAAAAACCTTGTCTGTTAGCTGCCTAATTGTGATATTTAAATGAACATAGTTATACTCTCGGTATATCATAAAGAAAATCGGTTGAACCGTCTTCTCTAACCCAAATTGACGTTGGGTGGGCTTCTGGAGAAGCAGATATGAACATTTTGTTTAAAATTATGAAGAGGGAAATGGCTGTGATCTTAACAGGTTTAGTTTATCAACTCACAGACACAGTATTAAACATATCCTTACTCTTGATTCCACTGATTGCTATTTACTTTTATGTAGAAACTTAAATTACGAATTCCACTTCTCTTTAAATATTTTTCTATGCAAAAACGAAATGTCATTAATAATTTTTTTCTTTCTAAATTACGTTTTGACGTATATATATATAGGTTTCATAAGTTTCTTGACTTGTTTAATTTGGAATGAAATTTCTTACGTAAAATAGTTTATGAAAATAATATGCTTGAAATGTTGACTTACATCTAATTGGGAGTCTTCTCGTCTTTCTTACGGCAACGCTAAGAGTAGTATTGATACAACTTTTTTATATTTGTAATAAAAAGTAAGATTATGATACTGATATTGAACATGCATGTCTTACTTTTTCTTTTTTCTTCTTCTCTTTTGCTCTTTATAATCTGCATTCTCTTCTTCCTTGCTTCTCTGGCCGTCCATACTATCATGGTAAACATAATTTAGCAAAAGACAATAACAGTAAATCCTAATAAAATCTACTGTTTTTCTTTGTAACTTTCAAAAAATTACCTCAATATATGGGTTACTACTCTCCCTTCGTCGTCCCTCGTCTTCTTTTATAATTACTGTCTTCTTCAAATTTGGATCTGCTGGAACTGTAAGGAATATGAGGCTGTAAACTTTTGTTTCTTTAAAATATTTCTACATTATGTAACGATGCAATAAATAAAAAATGAAAAACATTTTTAGATGAACCTTCTTTTTTTGCCTTCATTTTTTTTTTTTTTTTTTTGCTGCTTGCTCTTCTCTTTGCCCTGTTGTTTCTTAAAGTTTCTTTGTCAATATCCCTGTCTTTCCTTTTATGGGTTATCATATGTCTGTTTGGATAACTAACTTGAAATCAAACGCACCAATAAGTCATTTTATTAGACACGGTATGAGTTTAATCATGAAATAGATCAATGGAGTAGTATGTGAAGTGCATTGCATACTGTAGGCGACGATGAAGAGAAATGGACGATGTATAGTTGTTCTTGTGAAGACGTTCGAGATGGATGGGCGGATGTGCTGTGTCATGTGTTACCTGCTTCCCTTAGCTAAAACGTTATGCGTTAGTGAAAGCCTTCACTCCTTTGTCTAAATAGGTACTTTACTCTTTACTCTCTCAAACACCCAACATTTTTTTTTTTAATAAATATTAATCAATTCTAGCGAAGGTCTTTAAAAATAAATTAAATAAATAAAATATCAATAACAAATAAATCAGCTCAGCGGAAGCAAATAATAATTAAACAAGTCTAGCAAAATAATGCAAAACAATAAAACAGTAAACATCCTATCATCCCCCTCTTCAGCCTTGATTCCGCGATCACACAAATCTTTTACCTGCAACACATTGGAATGGAGTTGCGTAAGTATTTAATAAATACTTAGTGAGGCAATCACTCTGCCTACGAGCCATTTACGCAATTTACTAGATATTTAATAATATTTATAAACTCCAATAATTATTAAATACCATTTTCCAATTATTAAATAATTATTAATAATTAAAACTCATTTCTCAATTATTAAATAATTCTCATAATTAAATAATAATTTTCCATATTTTAAAATAATTAAAATAATTATTTTAAATCAATTAATTAATTAAATTAACCATTAATTAATTAAATCCGAAAATAAATCAAACAATTTGAATTAAAACATTTTAATTCAATTACACCAATTAACCAGAATCAAATCAATTTAAACCAAGATAAACCAATTAAATCAATTAATTCAATTAAACCAGATTAAACCACACAAACACACAATTCATCACAGAAACAACCAAAATATCATGAAATAACAATTAAACACATAAACTCATCAAGAACAATCACAAACCAAATCTAATCTAGCAAATCACGGACCCACAGTCATGCACTCACCTTGACAATGGATTGAAACTGAAGGAAAAAGAAAGACGATGAACAGTGCCGAATCGCGGATGAACAGTACCGATGAACAGTACCGTGAACAGTACCGATGAACAGTAACCCGTGAACAATACCGATGAACAGTACCGATGAACAGTAAAATCGGATTTTTCCAGGAACTCTCAAAATCGCCTTTCTCCTTCTCTGCCTCGAAAAACGTGATGAACAGACGGCTGCTTCTCCTTTAAAACGAAAATAAGGGTTTCCAACCCTTAACCGGGCTAAACCGGGCCCAATTTCACTCAAATTGAACCAAAATCAATTATCTATTATTTGGTTTATGGATGTTACAACTCTCCCCCACTAAACTGGATTCGACCTCGAATCCCAACAAACAAACGTCACAAAGACCACAAAAACCCGACCTCGCAAGGCCGCAACACTGGAGATCCTCACCTGATCCCCGAGACATATGTCAATCCTATGTCATAAGCACGTTCCAAGAAATTTTCACTCCTAACTCATCATCCAAACACACAAACCACTTGTACTGAGGCCCACTTGCACCCAGACAAGTCCACACCGGTCCGCACTGAGGCCCACTTGCACCCAGACGAACCCGAAACGTCCATACTGAGGCCCACTTGCACCCAGATGAACTAAACTGCTTATACTGAGGCCTACTTGCACCCAGATAAGCTACACTCAACTGAGGCCTACTTGCACCCAGAGAGTCTGCCAGAGAACGAAGTCTCCAAAAACATGATGAGTTATTCAGGATCGCAATCCTTAGAGTAAAAATTCTGGAAAAATGTCTATAACCATAAGATTAGACCGTCTCACAACCAAAACTGGTCAAACATGTGTAACATCCGAATACCATTTCACAACACAAGGCAAAATGAGGAAAAACTGCATCTCATTAAAACTCCAAAAATGTATATCGTTACAACGAAAACGAAAATACAATAACACCAAAGCCAAAAATAACAACTGAGGCTACAAAGATGAAATAAGCTCACTCCTCGACCTGCTTGTCGAACCACTTCCTGAACTTCAACTTTCATCTTTGCCTCTGGCTCCCAAGTCTCCTCTGTAGAACCACTGCAATCCCACAAAATCCTCAGTAAGGGAATCCTCTTGTTCCTCAGAACCTTTTCCCTCCTCTCTAAAATCCTCACAGGCACTGCCGGCACTGTCAAATCTGGCTGAAGATCCTCTGGAATCCTAGCCACTAACTCCTCTGTAGGGTGAAGACACTTCCTCAGCATCGACACATGAAAAACCTTGTGAAAGGCTTTCATAATCTCAGGCAACTCCAGCCTGTACGCCAATGGCCCAACTCGCTTCCACTACTGGAAACGGACCCATAAAACGCGGACTCAGCTTGTTCTCTGCTATGGATCTGTTAGGACCCCTCAACATAGCCATCTTGAGATAAACTCTATCTCCCACCTGAAACTCAAGCTCTTGTCTGCGTCTATCTGCATAACTCTTCTGCTATCCTGAGCTTCCTTCATGTTCAGCCTCACCACACGACCTTCTCTGTCGTCTCCTGAACATAAGTAGCTCCATACATGTTGCGCTCCCCCACTTGGGTCCAGCATAGGGGTGTCCTACATGGCCTCCCATACAAAGCCTCAAAAGGAGCCATGCCAATACTCGCCTGAAAGCTGTTGTTGTATGCAAACTCAACTAAGCTCAAGTGATCAGCCCAATGACCATCCCAATCCAGCATACACATCCTCAACAAATCCCTCAAGGTCTGAATAGTCCTCTTTGACTTCCCATCAGTATGCGGATGATATGCTGTACTCATATGCACCTTAGTGCTCATCTCAGCCTGAAACGCTCTCCAAAACTCTGAAGCGAATCTGGGATCACGGTATAACACAATACTAGCTGGCACTCCATGCAGCCTCACAANTTCACTCATGTTTGTCCTCATAGTCATGTGTAGAACCTATTAATCCATGTTTGGGTAAGTATGGGTCCATCTAGTTCATCTTATACACTACAAGTGAGTTTCCACAATGTGGAGTCACAGAGGTACATTTCGGACTCCTTACCTCTTCCGGTTCCCAAATTTGGTCCATTTGATGTTCCTCCCTTGGATTGAGACCGTTTCACTCATGTTTGTCCTCATAGTCATGTGTAGAACCTATTAATCCATGTTTGGGTAAGTATGGGTCCATCTAGTTCATCTTATACACTACAAGTGAGTTTCCACAATGTGGAGTCACAGAGGTACATTTCGGACTCCTTACCTCTTCCGGTTCCCAAATTAGGTCCATTTGATGTTCCTCCCTTGGATTGAGACCGTTTCACTCATGTTTGTCCTCATAGTCATGTGTAGAACCTATTAATCCATGTTTGGGTAAGTATGGGTCCATCTAGTTCATCTTATACACTACAAGTGAGTTTCCACAATGTGGAGTCACAGAGGTACATTTCGGACTCCTTACCTCTTCCGGTTCCCAAATTTAGGTCCATTTGATGTTCCTCCCTTGGATTGAGACCGTTTCACTCATGTTTGTCCTCATAGTCATGTGTAGAACCTATTAATCCATGTTTGGGTAAGTATGGGTCCATCTAGTTCATCTTATACACTACAAGTGAGTTTCCACAATGTGGAGTCACAGAGGTACATTTCGGACTCCTTACCTCTTCCGGTTCCCAAATTGGTCCATTTGATGTTCCTCCCTTGGATTGAGACCGTTTCACTCATGTTTGTCCTCATAGTCATGTTAGAACCTATTAATCCATGTTTGGGTAAGTATGGGTCCATCTAGTTCATCTTATACACTACAAGTGAGTTTCCACAATGTGGAGTCACAGAGGTACATTTCGGACTCCTTACCTCTTCCGGTTCCCAAATTTGGTCCATTTGATGTTCCTCCCTTGGATTGAGACCGTTTCACTCATGTTTGTCCTCATAGTCATGTGAGAACCTATTAATCCATGTTTGGGTAAGTATGGGTCCATCTAGTTCATCTTATACACTACAAGTGAGTTTCCACAATGTGGAGTCACAGAGGTACATTTCGGACTCCTTACCTCTTCCGGTTCCCAAATTAGGTCCATTTGATGTTCCTCCCTTGGATTGAGACCGTTTCACTCATGTTTGTCCTCATAGTCATGTGAGAACCTATTAATCCATGTTTGGGTAAGTATGGGTCCATCTAGTTCATCTTATACACTACAAGTGAGTTTCCACAATGTGGAGTCACAGAGGTACATTTCGGACTCCTTACCTCTTCCGGTTCCCAAATTTGGTCCATTTGATGTTCCTCCCTTGGATTGAGACCGTTTCACTCATGTTTGTCCTCATAGTCATGTAGAACCTATTAATCCATGTTTGGGTAAGTATGGGTCCATCTAGTTCATCTTATACACTACAAGTGAGTTTCCACAATGTGGAGTCACAGAGGTACATTTCGGACTCCTTACCTCTTCCGGTTCCCAAATTGGTCCATTTGATGTTCCTCCCTTGGATTGAGACCGTTTCACTCATGTTTGTCCTCATAGTCATGTGTAGAACCTATTAATCCATGTTTGGGTAAGTATGGGTCCATCTAGTTCATCTTATACACTACAAGTGAGTTTCCACAATGTGGAGTCACAGAGGTACATTTCGGACTCCTTACCTCTTCCGGTTCCCAAATTGGTCCATTTGATGTTCCTCCCTTGGATTGAGACCGTTTCACTCATGTTTGTCCTCATAGTCATGTGTAGAACCTATTAATCCATGTTTGGGTAAGTATGGGTCCATCTAGTTCATCTTATACACTACAAGTGAGTTTCCACAATGTGGAGTCACAGAGGTACATTTCGGACTCCTTACCTCTTCCGGTTCCCAAATTAGGTCCATTTGATGTTCCTCCCTTGGATTGAGACCGTTTCACTCATGTTTGTCCTCATAGTCATGTGAGAACCTATTAATCCATGTTTGGGTAAGTATGGGTCCATCTAGTTCATCTTATACACTACAAGTGAGTTTCCACAATGTGGAGTCACAGAGGTACATTTCGGACTCCTTACCTCTTCCGGTTCCCAAATTTGGTCCATTTGATGTTCCTCCCTTGGATTGAGACCGTTTCACTCATGTTTGTCCTCATAGTCATGTGAGAACCTATTAATCCATGTTTGGGTAAGTATGGGTCCATCTAGTTCATCTTATACACTACAAGTGAGTTTCCACAATGTGGAGTCACAGAGGTACATTTCGGACTCCTTACCTCTTCCGGTTCCCAAATTTGGTCCATTTGATGTTCCTCCCTTGGATTGAGACCGTTTCACTCATGTTTGTCCTCATAGTCATGTGTAGAACCTATTAATCCATGTTTGGGTAAGTATGGGTCCATCTAGTTCATCTTATACACTACAAGTGAGTTTCCACAATGTGGAGTCACAGAGGTACATTTCGGACTCCTTACCTCTTCCGGTTCCCAAATTAGGTCCATTTGATGTTCCTCCCTTGGATTGAGACCGTTTCACTCATGTTTGTCCTCATAGTCATGTGAGAACCTATTAATCCATGTTTGGGTAAGTATGGGTCCATCTAGTTCATCTTATACACTACAAGTGAGTTTCCACAATGTGGAGTCACAGAGGTACATTTCGGACTCCTTACCTCTTCCGGTTCCCAAATTTGGTCCATTTGATGTTCCTCCCTTGGATTGAGACCGTTTCACTCATGTTTGTCCTCATAGTATGTGGAGAACCTATTAATCCATGTTTGGGTAAGTATGGGTCCATCTAGTTCATCTTATACACTACAAGTGAGTTTCCACAATGTGGAGTCACAGAGGTACATTTCGGACTCCTTACCTCTTCCGGTTCCCAAATTGGTCCATTTGATGTTCCTCCCTTGGATTGAGACCGTTTCACTCATGTTTGTCCTCATAGTCATGTGAGAACCTATTAATCCATGTTTGGGTAAGTATGGGTCCATCTAGTTCATCTTATACACTACAAGTGAGTTTCCACAATGTGGAGTCACAGAGGTACATTTCGGACTCCTTACCTCTTCCGGTTCCCAAATTTGGTCCATTTGATGTTCCTCCCTTGGATTGAGACCGTTTCACTCATGTTTGTCCTCATAGTCATGTGTAGAACCTATTAATCCATGTTTGGGTAAGTATGGGTCCATCTAGTTCATCTTATACACTACAAGTGAGTTTCCACAATGTGGAGTCACAGAGGTACATTTCGGACTCCTTACCTCTTCCGGTTCCCAAATTAGGTCCATTTGATGTTCCTCCCTTGGATTGAGACCGTTTCACTCATGTTTGTCCTCATAGTCATGTAGAACCTATTAATCCATGTTTGGGTAAGTATGGGTCCATCTAGTTCATCTTATACACTACAAGTGAGTTTCCACAATGTGGAGTCACAGAGGTACATTTCGGACTCCTTACCTCTTCCGGTTCCCAAATTTGGTCCATTTGATGTTCCTCCCTTGGATTGAGACCGTTTCACTCATGTTTGTCCTCATAGTCATGTGAGAACCTATTAATCCATGTTTGGGTAAGTATGGGTCCATCTAGTTCATCTTATACACTACAAGTGAGTTTCCACAATGTGGAGTCACAGAGGTACATTTCGGACTCCTTACCTCTTCCGGTTCCCAAATTAGGTCCATTTGATGTTCCTCCCTTGGATTGAGACCGTTTCACTCATGTTTGTCCTCATAGTCATGTGAGAACCTATTAATCCATGTTTGGGTAAGTATGGGTCCATCTAGTTCATCTTATACACTACAAGTGAGTTTCCACAATGTGGAGTCACAGAGGTACATTTCGGACTCCTTACCTCTTCCGGTTCCCAAATTAGGTCCATTTGATGTTCCTCCCTTGGATTGAGACCGTTTCACTCATGTTTGTCCTCATAGTCATGTGTAGAACCTATTAATCCATGTTTGGGTAAGTATGGGTCCATCTAGTTCATCTTATACACTACAAGTGAGTTTCCACAATGTGGAGTCACAGAGGTACATTTCGGACTCCTTACCTCTTCCGGTTCCCAAATTAGGTCCATTTGATGTTCCTCCCTTGGATTGAGACCGTTTCACTCATGTTTGTCCTCATAGTCATGTGTAGAACCTATTAATCCATGTTTGGGTAAGTATGGGTCCATCTAGTTCATCTTATACACTACAAGTGAGTTTCCACAATGTGGAGTCACAGAGGTACATTTCGGACTCCTTACCTCTTCCGGTTCCCAAATTGGTCCATTTGATGTTCCTCCCTTGGATTGAGACCGTTTCACTCATGTTTGTCCTCATAGTCATGTGAGAACCTATTAATCCATGTTTGGGTAAGTATGGGTCCATCTAGTTCATCTTATACACTACAAGTGAGTTTCCACAATGTGGAGTCACAGAGGTACATTTCGGACTCCTTACCTCTTCCGGTTCCCAAATTGGTCCATTTGATGTTCCTCCCTTGGATTGAGACCGTTTCACTCATGTTTGTCCTCATAGTCATGTGAGAACCTATTAATCCATGTTTGGGTAAGTATGGGTCCATCTAGTTCATCTTATACACTACAAGTGAGTTTCCACAATGTGGAGTCACAGAGGTACATTTCGGACTCCTTACCTCTTCCGGTTCCCAAATTGGTCCATTTGATGTTCCTCCCTTGGATTGAGACCGTTTCACTCATGTTTGTCCTCATAGTCATGTGTAGAACCTATTAATCCATGTTTGGGTAAGTATGGGTCCATCTAGTTCATCTTATACACTACAAGTGAGTTTCCACAATGTGGAGTCACAGAGGTACATTTCGGACTCCTTACCTCTTCCGGTTCCCAAATTAGGTCCATTTGATGTTCCTCCCTTGGATTGAGACCGTTTCACTCATGTTTGTCCTCATAGTCATGTGTAGAACCTATTAATCCATGTTTGGGTAAGTATGGGTCCATCTAGTTCATCTTATACACTACAAGTGAGT